TTTTATACACATCATTGTCTGTCTCTAATTCAAATTGCTCCATAGATATGTTCTGAGAGAAGAACACCTATCAGCCCACAGTCACCAAGGGGATGGAGATTTTAGCTATTACACTCAGAGAGTTTAATTCTCTCAGTCAGGCATCCTCTGGGAGAGGGAAACAATCATAGTGACAGAAGCAAGAGACTGCAATCTGCAGTAGTCCAAGAACAGGATGAAGGCAGAAGAAGGTGTTTTCTCTCAAAGGAAAAATTGCTCTTACCAGAATTAATGACTGAAGGCCAATAACTTATAGGCTAAACTTGAAATTTTTAGAGCCTTGAGTATTCCAATGACTTACTATAGATGACTTACTATGCAAGAGTTTCAAATATTGCAGATATTAATTTATATTCCATGGAGTATCGGCAACATATTCTATATATCTGTCAGCAATTGAGGAACTTTCAATGATATAAAAATTTTGAATATTCTGAAGGGAAAGGGTTATCAAAGAATGAAAAAATACCTAAAGTAGTTTAACTCACTCTTGTCTACTGTTCTTTGATCTGATGATCACAGTCTCCAATTTGTCCTGAATCTATATTTGCATGGCAAATTGGACTCCGCCCCTTCTCATCCCATCTGCACAATCCAGAGACCAGTTCAAATTTACATCATCAGTTTCTTTCAGCCTAACTAAACTAAAACATAATTTTCAAATGTCTACTGTACACTGTACCTAATAATGCTAAATTTACCTGTCAATCTAATGTTCAGATCGTCACAATTTATGACACTGTAATATCAGCATTCATTCTGAAACCTTGGCAATGAACCAACATACTGTCCTCACCTAGCAGCCTAATAATGCAGGACTTTGACACTGAAAAGCAAGAGTAGCTTTTCTTTGTTTTCTATCAACACAATTCATAGGGACTTTCACAACTGAATGACACCAGTTTAAAATCTTCTATCTAAATATATTTCTAAATTTAATTCAATATCAGTGAGAAAACTTGCAAAGAGGCTCTCCCTGTTGGCACAACAGGTTAAAGCACAGCACTATGAAGCTATTGCTGCCACTGTAGCACAAGTTCGATCCCTGGCCAGTGGGGTGACTCATATGGCGTGGCAGACCTCTCCTGCCTAGTCCACTGCTCCCCTCAGCACTATGTTTCAATCTGCCTGTTCTGCTCCCCACTCTGGCTCTCCTCTCACCACGCATACCTCTGGCCTATACTCTAGTTCTTGTAAGCATGAATAAATAAATCTTTTAAAAGAAAAAAGACTTGCAAAGAACCCACACCCCCCACAAGCTACACCTTGTCACCTATAAAGTAACCATAAAATAGCTTCAATTTGCCTCCCCCAAAATAATACTTTTTTAAAGATTATCAGACAGGGCCTCCCTGGTGGTGCAGGGGTTAGTGTTAACATTACCCAGCTCTCCTGCTATCACCAGCCACTGCAGCATGATTTTGATGCCTGGCCAGGAGCTGACCCACTGCTTCCCTCAGCAGTATGTTTTAGTAGATCTGTCTGTTCTGTTCTCACTCTGTCTCTGGTGAATCCCCTTGCACCTCTGACCTATACCCCAGTTCTTATATGCATAAATAAAAAAAATAAATCTTAGAAAAATAAAGATTATCATGCCAAGAAAAAAAACACTTCAATGTAAATTTTGTGCATATTGCCATTTGAGAAAAATATTTTTTTTAAAATGTCATTCCCTGGCTCTCCCTGGTGGTGCAGCGGGTTAAAGCACAGCACTTAGAAGCTTAAGCCACTTCCGCATGACTTCGATCCCCGCCTGCCCTGGAGGTGACCACATGGTGTGGCAGACCTCTCCTGATCCGCCCGCTGCTCCCCTCAGCAGTGTACTTCATCTATCTGCCTGTTCTGCTCCCCGCTCTGTCTCTGGTGAATCCTCTCACCCTCTGCATCTCTGGCCTGTACCCCAGTTCTGTATGAATAAATAAATAAATCTTTAAAAAAAAAAAAAAAAAGAAATGTCATTCCCATTTCAGGCAACTCTGCTTCTTTTCACACAACTAGTTAAACAATGATTGACTATTTATGTAAATACGACTGGAAAGACCAATTTGCTACACACACAATTATTTCCTTACAATGCATGCAAGCTATTCTTAGCGATATCAAAAGTGTTAACTGGGGCAATCACCTGACAGCTTATGCCTACTTTGGTCAGTTTTTGCTTGATCTGGAACTTGGAATTATGTTGCTTACAAGACTAATTCTAATGTTCTTGTTTTAGTTTTAGACTTTCTTACAGTAATGAATCATTAAGCAGGAAATCATCTAAATAATAAAAATTAAGAACAAGCTTCTACTTCCTATTGCCAACTCTTATCATTTAGTTATTTTACCAACTAGTCAGAAAAACACACATTTAAAAAGCTAAGTGATACCATTTTCCAAATTTAAAAAGAACTATCATCAGAGTTGACAATGATAAAGTGGGGGGTAAAATATTAATTGCTACAACTTTTCAGATTGAAATTTCATAAAAATATTATACACTTTTGGTTTGGTAATTGCATTATTAGAAATTTACCCTAATGAAATCATCAGTGCTTCAAACAATAACACTCAAAACTGTGTGGGTGAGATACCTCCAGAAATTTGATAAATTTGTTATTGAATTTCCATATATTGAGCTATTACCCAGTCATTACTTAAGATTTAAAAATTAGGTATGTAGTAGTCTCACTATAAAACAGCAATGACAGTTAGTATATAGCATTACATTGTAGGAAACCAGAATATGCCACCCCAATATATTTCTTTTTTATATAAGGATGGTGCTGAGCTTCTCAGTTTGAGCACATACTATGAAACTCTGAAAACTGTAAATTATCCTTCAATATGAAAAATCTACATTAGTAATGAAAATCTCCACTTTGAAGGGTGTTTATCTCTCATTATCAGGAAGAAAAAGGGGACTCTAAATTACAAGGGACTCATCAGGAGGCCACCAACTTAAAACTGTACAACTTTACCCTTGTTGAATGAACTTTTACAGGTCACCTTCCCACAACTTGTCTCTCTTGCTTTATTTTATTTAAAGTTGGCATGCAAGTTCAAGTTCTAGCCACCTCTTTTGAACTATTCACCTCTGAGTGTCTGAGTATATATGAGACATATATGTTCCTAAACTTGTATCTGCTTTCTCTTGTTAATGTGTCTTTTGTTACAAGGCCCTAACCCATAATCTGGAAGGACAGAAGGAAACAATAGTGTTTCCTCCACTACAACATAAAATCTTCCAATGTGGCATCAGGAGCATAGATTTTAGGTGAATTTCAAAAAAGACAAAGCACAATGTAGTATTTTAGAAAAATATATTGAAGATGACCACATGTTTCTCTCTTGGGTTCAAATCATTTTTCAACTAACTGCTATTAGAACTGCAAACACCAGTCTTCACCAGACCTCTGATCTGTCTCATATCAAAATTCATGATACTGAAAAATATGTATTAGAGCGTTCTGTTTTTAAACTGGGCCACCATCCCAGACGGATGGCTTCTATTAGAAGTTGGCAACATATCTGGTTCACAAAAAAATTCAAGTTATTTTGTTCTAACCAGGCCCCCAATTATGTCATATTAAATGCTTCATTAAAAAAAATCATCTCCAAAATGAATATTATTCATGAAATTAGTTTGATCTAGTGAATTGCATTTAAAATATCATAAAAGATTATACGTAAATCCAAGTTGCTTTCTATAGAAAAATCTCAGTTTTATCATTAACTTCTGCTTTATGAAGCACACACTCAAAATACATGAACAGAGATATATGGAAGACTCACGTAGAAGAATCCAAGTGGTCCAGATATATATGGCATTTTGATTCCCAGGAGATACTTGACTTGTGACGTCACAACGTGGGTGGCAGCCCCGGTTGTCATGGCGCTGATCACAGGCTCAGTGAGCAGGAATGTGGCATGGCCCAGCTGAAGCACAAACATGGCCACCTACGAGGACAAAGGAAAATAAAGTTTCCTAAGGTTCCTTCAGGGACTGAAATCTCATGTTCATTTTCATGACACAGACATAGTGAATGACGTGAGCTAGGTCTCTTAACCTTATGTATTCCATCGCTTGAGTTTTCTTGAGAACGTGACTGTGTATGAGGGCATTTTAAACAATTTGAGGGCACAATATAACTAAGAGCCTTAGAGAAGCTGACAGTGTTTTCCTAAATACTGATATTTCTTTCTTCTCTTTTCTTAATTAAGATATGGGGAAAATTTAAATTTGTGTTAACCTATCTGTAGTTCTTTTTAAAAAAAGACTTGATTCACTACTTTACACAGAGAAAGTTTAAAATCATAAAATCATTGAAGAGAAAATGTAATTTATTGAGTCTCACCCAGTTCAGAGAAACATAAACATACTTTTTGACTGGGTATTTGTTCTAGTAGCTATAAAAGGCTAATATAATAAGACATCAGGATTTATGTGTATAGAAAAAAAATATACAGATGACTAAAGGGTTATATCTAAAGATATCCAGGAATTAGTAGAAAAATAATTTTCCTTAAACATTTCTTGCCACTCCTAACATCACGCTCCACTGCAAAATTATTTCATGACCAAACACAAATCATCAACTCCGAGTTTAAACTGCGTGCTATTGAGCTCTGGTGGACATAAGATGACAAGAAAAAACAAATGTCTTTCACGTGTGAACACTGTAATGATTAGCATTCTCCCTTTGACAAATTAAGACAAAGTTTTTAAGAAATAACCCATTCTTTGAATACTACTGTGAAAACTCGTAGAAATTTACATTTTCACGTTACATTAAATTACTTTCATGAGTGTTCATGCAGGAAAAGGTACACAGAATACTGATATATCCTCTCAATGTGTTCATTGCAACATTTAGGTCAAGTTTTAAAATTCTTGTTGCAGGATAAGATCAATTATCAAAGACTAAGAGAAAAGAACAGTGAGAGCTGTTCCAGAGGGTATGTGGTAGAAATGAGACATTCAATGGGCTTTCCCATATCACTAGAATATAGCTTGGAAAATAAGTCCTTTCCATCTTGCTACAACGTCCTTTTCCAAAAACAATAGTGCTCTGAACTTTATTATAATTAGAGTGGAGTTTCCTAGTCTCAAGTCTGAAAAACTTAATTATGAGTCTGGTTTTACCACATCCTAGCTGCAGGACAATAGAAAACCTACTGAAATGTTTGAACCTCATCATGTATAAGTTTTGAGTGTTATGTACCCTTCCTATTTTGCGATGTTATAGGAAAGTAAATATGAAATAAAATATAAAAGAGTTTTAAGTATGCAAATTTAGAATGCACCCTCTGTGCTGCCATACCTGACATAGCAGACATCTTTAACCTTCTACTGGAAAACCAGTACACACTAAAGATGCAGAAAGAATCACACTACAGCTTTCAGGTCTGAAAAACTTGAATTTATGAGTGAAGAAAAAATGTATTTGAATTGTTGCAGTTTGGCAGTTCCTTTTTATTCAAGATATAATAAACAGAATAGTATGGATTGCCATTGTAGAAATCAGGCAAAATGTTTCTGCCAACATCTGCAGCCAAACAGCAGCTTCTGCTACTAATGTTTTTTCAGAAATTGTGTCAGTTCGTCAAAGTAGAAAAGTCCTGAGGGAAAAATCCAATCAATCAATGTTATAGGTACAAGTGGAACACACAGATCTTTTTGGCAGCTCTTGAGTCATAGTCTATTGGTTTTCATCTTGGAAACACAATCGGTTAAGAAAAACATTGAACCAATTTTCCTCAAACATGTCTCTTACAAGTAAGTTAGTTCCAATTTATGGCACTGACTCTTACAGGCCATGAGATGAAAATTAGCTTATTGTGTGGTAAGATGAACAGCAGAGAGTTGAATTTTCATTTCAGCTAAATTACAGCAAACAGTCCAAAGAATTGAAACTGTAAAGCCTGCTCACATATTTTATGCATACCTGGAATATTGGAAGTTCTTATCTTTATGACAAGAAATCTTCATTTCTTTTAAGAAGCCAATGCTTTTGGGAGATCATATACAGACCATCACCATTTTATCTTTTAATTCGTTCCAGCATCTACTCAGCGGAGTTAATGACTCGCCTTGCCTGAGAAAGAAGTTACCTAACACAAAGTAGTCCCCAACTACCTGTAAGTAGCCACGATCTTCTAATCACAGTTTCTTTGTCATTTCTACAACCTGAATACAAATGGAATGATCCAGAACTGAATAAGACATAAAAACAATTCAACCATTTCAACATACCTACCTTAAAATAGAAACCAGAAGAGATGGAGCATCCTCCTTTATAATATTTTCACAAATGTGCCAGCATTTTTGTAATATTCTATTTGTATATATTTTTATGCTATTCAAAAAACCTTCCCAGCAAGGGTTGAATCCCTAAAATGGAGAATTCCTGACTTTGAAAAGTCAACAAGCCCCTTAAGATCTCATTTCTGATACAAATCATTGGGTATGTGAAGGATGATTGCAAACATGTGAGATTTAACTAGAGAGAAATTATGCTCTTCTGAATGACAACATTCTACATAACCCAAGACAATGGCAGATGTTTTAAAAAAGAGGAGGAGAAAGAGGGAGATCGGGAAGGTGTTCAAGAAGAAAAGAGAGAGAAGCAGGAAAACTTTAGAAGTCCCCTTTTCCTACCACCTAAACTTCCACAGCTTATTCACATTGAAATTAGGGATCCAGTGTGCATATCTTGAAGGCAGAAAGTACAGGTGCAAATGCGTTGAAAGAGGGTCCTGCAGATGGAGCAGCCGTTTCCAAGTTCATCTTGGAACTTAAAACACATGGCAGGGGGATCCCTTGCTTGGAGGCCCAGCATTTCAATTTTGTAGCAACATTAGGGATTTTTTAAACTAATGACTTAATAACAGCCAATTCAGTTCCTTTTACTGATTATATGAGTGTTGATACCTTCCAAAATTTGACCAAGCAATGTTTTATGAAGAAAATACATTTCATACAATATATTTCAGCTGTTTGTAGCAACACTGATGTTCTGGGCTAATGCTGAAAACCTCTGACACACATTATCAAGGTTCACCAGCATGATACTATTTGGTAATGTTTCTGTAAACATCATGTGTTCTATATAAATTGAATTCATCTCAGATTTCAGGTTATTTTTGTGAAGTGGCCTTCAAAAAGTGAAAAAAGAAAAGCATGCACAGCAAACAACATTAGTTAATAGCAATGTAGCAACCTAGTTCATTAAATGCAAGTAATATACTATACTCATATACGATGTTAATAATGTAATAATGTTAATAATATGGAAATTGTAAGCAAGTAGAGTTTGTGGCAACTCAGTCTTTGCAAACTTACTACAACTCTACAATTATTATGAAACAAAAAATGTATTAAAGATACAAGAAATCCTCCTTTACTTTCCATAGAATCTTCAGGAAATTCTGTATTTTTTTTTTTCCCAATGTGTGTGCGGGGCATGAAGAATTCCTACATTCTGCAATATGGGTATAGAAAAAAGAGGGACTCTAAAGGGGACCCAAAATAGCTGGGGTTTAGAGGTATAGCTATTATGCAAATAACCATAGCAAAACAAGTATGCACAAATAAAAAGAGAGGACTAGAAACAGCCACCAGATTTCAGCAGGAGAAGGAAATACTACTAGGTAGGGGTATCTGTCTGAATAGGACAATGTACTTAAGGAGGAATCTAAGAAAGAGAAATTAATTAGAAAGAATAGGGCTCAGTATAAGTATAAAGTAAAACAACCTGGATATGTTCAGAGGACACAGAGATGACAGTTTAGAAGTAGCACAGCTAGCCAAAAAGGACTAATAGGAAAATAAAACAAGATATTTTGAAGTTAAGAGTACGGAGCATCTTAAAACTAGTGAAAAGCGAGTTCTGTAGCAGTGCCTGAGATCACTTTTCCATACGTTTATTAAACACCTAATTTTGCCAAGAAGTATAATGCTTATTGGCTGGAAAATTTGAGCTATGCTTTGGTAGGATTAATCTAATGATAGAATGTGGAACAACTGGTCATTTGAAAGGTTAGTATGAATGGAACTGCTTAAGGAAAAAAACAAAAGCATGAACACTGGACACAGCAGGTACAGAGAACTGAGATGAGCCAAGTGTTGGACTAGACAGCAAACTGATCACAAGTTTATTATGCTTGACCTCTTCTTTATTATAAAATACAGCAGAAATTTACCATCTCTAGTATTATTTTTGCTTGGAATCACACAGTTGAAAAGGGAAATTTTCTGTTACATTATGACTTTTCTAGAAAATAGTGGCTACCAAATCCAAGACAATAAGAATCAAACTGCTGGTGACAGATACTGATATACATTTTTGCCTTCCCTCTTCATTCTCATATAAAGAAAACAACAGCATGGTAAAATGGAATGATTGAAGTATATTATTAAAAGATGCAATGGAATGAGAAATTATAGAACTATTGTATGTTTATTTTTCTTTAGGTAGGGAAACATGGGCAATTTCATTTGAGCTAGAGAAATTTGACAAAATACATGATAAGTTCAAGAATTATAACACATTTTCTTAATCCTCTTTCATTAAGAAGTATATTACAATTTAAATAAGTATAGATATACTTTCATCTAGTAGATATATTATCATCTAGTGGGAGTTGAAGAAGATAATTTTAAGTTAGAAAAGGAAGAAAATTTTAATTTTAATCTGATTACTTAACAGAGTGATGCCACTGATGTTTTATTGTCCTTTTACCTATTCAAGTTACTCAGCTCACTTTTGCCACGTGCCAACTGCTGGATTTACATATACAATCTCTGTTCTATAGAGAATGACAGTCCAGAAAGGGCAATAAATATAAGAAAAATATTTCCAGGTAGACCAAGAAGTCTTATAATGTAAAAGAGTCTAGCAAGATGATACAGAGTTAATATGCTAGATTCACCTCTTCCTCCACATATTTACAAACAA